TAAATTAATATAGATTTAATAATATTTTTTATTATACTTACTTTTTATATTTATTTATCTTAGCCCGGCTAATTAGCTATAATATCTAATATTTTTCTTTTTTATAGGTTATATATATAGTTATTATTCTAGCTTATAGCTTAAGTTTCCTACTAGTAACTTTCTTCAGCTTATTATAAGTATTTATAGCTAGCTGGATAAATATATACTAAATAATTAAGTTATTTAAAAGTTTTATAGCAGCTGGAATTAAATTTTTAAAAATAAAAAAAGTTAACTAGAAGAAATAAAATCTGCTTATTATTAATATCTCTAAAATATAAACCTTACTATAATTCTTTAATATAATACAAATTATCTATTTAATCTTAAAACTCTACAGAACTTAGAATATTTTTAAAAGTAAGTTATTTATATAAGTTAATTAGCTATACTTTATTATAACTCTTTCCTATAAGCTAGTAGATAAGAATAATAATAAGATTGCAATCTAATTAAGAATATTATTAAGTTCTTTTAGAATTACCTCTAAGCTAGCTCTGAATTTACTATTTATTATAGCTATTATATACTTAATAGAGGATGCAAAATCTAAACTACTACTAATTTTCTATCTTAAAGATTCTTTATTCAGAATAGTCTAAGATACTATATATATTATATAATCCCTTCCAGTTATTGCTATTACAGGCCGAAGACCATATCTAGTCTGTATTCGGAAAAGAGATATAACGAGAATATAATAGCTTCTGGGCCTCGCCGTGGAATAATTGTATTATATTTATTAAACCAGGCAAGGATAGTAAGCATATTACGTTCCTGGACCCTGTTGATACTCGATAACCTCCTGGAGTTTCTCTTGAGTCTCTCGAGGAGATTACAAAGCAGTCTGAAGGGAAATAGCATATTAAAAATATAGTAACAAGAGGAGTGAAGGGATAAGCACCAGCTCTCACAGCATACACGAACGTGGAGGGTATTAGGGAGCTTTGTAGATATCTGGCTTTTATTTAGGAGTCAGCTAGTATACTTATATAGCTGGTCCGGACAGACTGCTCGTTGATAATTTGCAGGACCCTCGCCGGGAAACCCAGCTTATTTATACTACTTATCCTGGCCACTAACAGTAGACACCACAAGGAATTATAACGCCATAGAACAGAGAGAACGCAGAGGAAGGGATGCTGGGTAATAAGGGATGACTCAGGCAATACCAGAATGAGAATAACTAACTCGAGAACTACAGCTATCTCACTGGCATAAACTCCCTTCAAATACCTTATTGCTTCCTCCTGTATGTAAGGGGATGTATAAAGTCTGAGCTTATATATTACGCACGGGCGAGGCAGACTTCGGGGAAGCCGATGCAGGGACATCAGCTTGGACTGAGACTGCCTTGGCTAACATCTCCTGCCTGGTTAGTGGCGTCAAGTTGTCAATATCGAGCCCCTTCGAAGCCAGAATAGGTCTGATATGAGGCAGAACCAGCCGTGGGTTGAGGCTGGGACGGATTGAAAGCTCTGTTCATTAAGGTTAGCCACCCTCCAATCCCAAGCGTATATTCCCGTGCAATCCAAACTTACCGTGTCGCGTGAAATCGAATAGCGGAGGGAGCTCACGCACTTGCCCGGTATTGTATCGCGAGTTAGATAACTTAGTACTGGGGTCCCTCAGCTCGTCGAAGAAGGGATATACTATAGTATCGATGGCTCCTTGTCTCTCCGTCGGGGTGCACTCGAGCAGTTGCGCAATCAAGTCGATTGCGTTGGCATCGGCTTTGCGGAAAACCTTGGCGAAAGGAAGCGGCTTGATCTGCGGGAACTTGTGCTCCATATGCATTGAGGGTGAGGTTGTCGCAGGATGGCGGTAGGTGTGCAACCCACCATCAAGCTGCTGGTGGATCTAGATATGGATTGGTTGAATGGTCGCGACCACATCCGGAATGAGGATCACAGCATCAGCCCCTTGAGCACTTTTGTGAGGATGCCTTGGCGTTCAAGTTTAAATAAGCCTAATACGTGCATAGCCCGCGCAAAGCATTGCGTCTTTTCTGGCTTTCTTAGGCGTGGATGAACGAATGCTAAACATTGGATAACTTCCCAGAGGATAACTATTGCGTGACTACACCCATCTCGTGTTCTGTTCGCTGGTCATCCCGATGCGGACCCTGCTAGGAAAAGCCAATCCCAAGGTCGGGTCTGACGCTCTTGACGGGGTGTCATCACACGAGGGCCGAATTCTTATCATGACGACGAATCATATCGAACTTCTAGAGGCTGCGCTCATCCGCGCCGGTCACGCCGGCAGTAAGGTCAAGCTTCCCAATGCCGACAAAGATGTGACCTCACAACTATTCCATATGGTCTTCAAGCAGCCGACGACCGATAACATGCAAACGAATTTGCTGGCAAGGTGCCGGCGTTGGAAATTTCTCCGGCTGCGATACAGTCCTGTTCTCACCAGCTTCATATGGGTATGCTGTGATGAGATTCGGCACTTGGACAAGATCATTGGGGAGTCACACCAAGGACATGGCCTTTTCCCGCTTTACCGACCACCAAGACTCTGCGAGCTCGCTGATGAGACCAGGACAGCATCACTGCTTCTCTCACCTCTTCTTTCCTCAGTGCTCTCATCATCTCTCTCGTGACGTCAGGGGGACTCAGCCCTCAGCGGATCCAAATCCCTTCCGCAAGGTCTTGCATGATGACCTGTCAGCCACACATAGCCGCTAAGATCGTTATGGGAGGCTTCGCCGAGGTGGTGCCACGGTGCCTGTTGGCTGAGGCATTCAACAGCAACCGCTTCGGGCTTACTCTAAGAGCATACCAAGGGAACAGGGACGGCTCCTACGAAAATATTGCCTCCATTCTTCTATCATCCCTGAAAGACTGGGGTCCAAGCCCCTTTTACCTTGTATAGTAGTTGTGTTATCTGTCCCTAGGGTGTTGGTGTAAACTGTATGTTGGGGAGGTGTGGAGTAGAGAGTATACCTTACTATCAGCAGCTCCCACCCTTGACCGGAAGAATTGTTAAAGGAGGTCGCCAGAGCTGAGGCATAGATCAATGATCACAAGACTAACTCTTGTCGTGCAGGTCTGGCGGGCTAACAGCACGGAGAGACCGACGGGTCAGGGCAACGCTGACATGGTCATGCCAAGCGAGGTGTGGCAGGAATCATGGGGACGAAGAATCTTTCAACTGGTTCAGCCGGTTCAGGGGTCGGTACGGTTGCTATATATATATAGACCGCAAATGATTACTTCCTTGCGCGCCGGGTGGAACGCCTTGCAAGGCCTAGAACTGGTCCCAAGGTGTCACAGAATTACAAACACGTGGGTCACGCGTCAGCAAGACGGGGCTGAGCGTCGATAGACTTGGAGCGCCATCCAGGCAGCAAACCATTTCGTGGTTTTCACCTCAGCCCTAACGCCCGACAGCTGGGAAATGGCCATTTGACGCGAACAGCCCTAGGTTTAATTGGTGGCTAAGGGGAGCATCGCCGAATTCTCGTCAGCTGCGTTGTGCGCCATCTGACTAGGAGCCACATTCTTCAAATCATCTCCGTCCAAATCCGGCCTCAATTAACACCACCCCGGAGGACAAAGTCCTAGACCCAGCACCCTGAAATCCCCATTCAAGGCGGATTTCTAAGGGCATCTGGCTCTCGGAGGAATCTATAAGTATGCCAAAGCGCCATCCAGCCCCGTTAGTTTGGAGACAAACCCAAGTCCTTCCGAACGCAACAGCGCCTTAATCGAGTCTCTTGTATTGAACGATGCATATCATCCATTCTCTCTTTGTCTGCCTGACGGCATTTCTCCTCGCTGTCCAGGCACAGATCAACCCCTGGGAGGCTAGGCACGGTCTGACAGCCACGGACTATCAGCAACTCTTCAACAATCTCACCAGCAAGGGTTATTGTCTGAATTGGGTCAGTGGATACGCTCTGAATGACATCCCGCACTTTGCCGCAATCTTCGAGAAGAAGTCGAGCCCCGCATGGGTCGCCAGACACGGCTTGACTTCGCAGCAGTACCAACAGGCGTTCGATCAGTACACTTCCCAAGGTTTTAACCTGGTGCTCGTGAATGGTTACACAGTAGCGGGCGTCGATTATTATGCCGCCATATGGGATAAGTCACCGACTAGTCCCTGGGTGGCCAGACATGGCATGACCAGCTCCGACTACCAAGTCGCTTTTGACCGCTACGCGAAGGATGGTTACCGACTCGTCCACGTCAGTGGGTATTCTGTTAGTAATGACGCTCGCTATGCTGCCATCTGGCGGAAGACGAACGATGGAATCTCGTGGGTGGCTCGACACGGCATGACAAGCAGCGACTATCAAAGTTGGTTCAATACGTACAGCGACCAAGGTTATCGTCTAGTCCTGGTGAACGGATATGAGGTTGCAGGGACCGACTTCTACGTTGCAATCTGGGACAAGTCCAGCAGCGGTCCATGGGTGGCACACCACGGTATGACTAGCGACCAATATCAGGCCCAGTTCGACAACAATTATTACCAGGGTTTCCGGCTCAAGGTTATCAGCGGCTACAATAACGCTGGCCACTATGCGGCCCTGTGGGAGAACCCCGTCATGAAAGGCTCCGACCTATCTAACATCGATGCCGGCGTCAGCTCCTATATGAGCAAATACAATATCCCGGGCCTGTCTCTCGCAGTCACTCAGAACGACAGGCTGGTTTTCGCCAAGGGCTACGGCATGGCGAACCAGGCTTCTAATACCATTGTAACGCCAAAAAGCCGGTTCCGCATCATGAGCATCTCCAAGTCGATCACCTCGTCAGCCATAATGAAGCTCCGGGACGCCGGCAAGTTCAAGCTCACCGACAAGGTGTTCGGCCCCGGATCCATCACGGGCGACAAGTATGCCGGCCAGATGCCGCTTGTCAACGGCAAGCGCCAGTACCCGCCAGGGATCGCGGACATGACAGTGCAGAACCTGCTCGAGCACCAGGCCGGCTTCAGCGGGGTGCACGACCCGGAGGTCGACCTAATTACCATGACGCCGGCCCAAGCCGTCAGCAAGATCATCGCCACTGTGCCACTGGCTTACCCGGTGGGCACGCAAAACGTGTACTCCAACTTCGGTTTCCTGATTCTGGGCCGGCTGGTGGCCGACTTGGGCGGCGCTCCCGACTACGAGACATACGTACGCAATCAGATCCTCGGCCCGTCCGGCGCAGCGGGAATGCAGCTAGCCAGCAACGCGGGCTCGCTGCCGAGAGAGGTCACCTACTATCCCTTGGGTGTGACGGGCTCGTTCCACATCCACGAGTTCGACAGTTTCGGCGGCTGGGTCGCCACCATGCCCGACCTGGCCAGGTGGTACACCCGTGTCGACGGGCTGGCCGGCCGCTCAGACATCCTCCCGACCGCCACAGAGACGGAGATGTGGACCCCGGGAAGTCACAGCAACGGAGGTTACGCCAAAGGGTGGATCGTCAACGGCGGCGCGACTAAAGGCGCCCCTGCTGGATGGCGGGGCCACAACGGCGCCTTCGGCGGCACCAGCTCCTTCTTCTCCCAGCGAACGGACGGCACCGGTCTCGCCTTCGCTGTCGTTATGAACTACAACTCTGGTAACAAGCTCGACGGCTACAGCTCCGAGCTGCGCGGCGTCATCGACAGCTTTATCGGCGGTGTCACGTGGCCGTCGTACGATTTGTTCTAAAGTTATGCGACATGTGATCGAGAGCTAGTCGTAGAGTTTTTGTGTCGCTGAAAGAAGATATTCGGTATAACATGGTAGAGTAATTGATAGTACGGGAGTTTGGAGAGGGTAGGACGGACGCAGAGACTCCATTCAACATGGAGTTTCCATTTCATTATTTTAAAAATGTCAAGAGGGTCATATCATTCCTTTCAAATCGGCCCTTCTGGGAGATTGACCACTCTAACTTAGTCTCTGCTTCCTGATTCGGTGTTTTAGCAAGTGTTCTATTCTGCGGCTACCAGGGTCAGACATCGAACGAATCGAATCGATAGATTCATTCGATGCCAAGTCTTACGAATGTCGAATCGAAAATGGATCGATTCGGTAGAACAGGGCTACGCGATGTACGGAAATATGGCCCTTCGCGATGCATCAATGGTGGAATTTGGGATAGGGTTGGCCTTGTGGTTCGTGGATTCGGAGGCAGCTCCACGGGTTTTCTGCCCAGGACGCTGCCGACACTGAGCACATCAACATGAAAATTAGATCAATCGAAAGTGCAATGAGTATGAAACTCATCACTACCGTCATTAATTCCATGCAGCGTTCTCGGTCGATTTTATTCCCACCCTAACTCCCTATGCCAGGAAACTTAGAGGCAGGTGGCTCATGCACCAAATGGAACTGGTGAGACTGTTACTCGGCCACTTGCCCCGATCCCAACTCGACTGGGATAAGAGAACCGACCTTGAGGGCTGCAAAACAAAAGCTGAACGCTTGTTGAGGGAGGATTCCCAGCAGTATGCCAAGCGAATTGCGGACTCTATCAAAGTTGCTAGGCAGAATCTCCACCAGGCGCAGGAACGGCAGATCCGCCAAGCTAAAAAGAAGGGCCAGGAACCGAATTTTACGGTTAGGGTCAAAGGCTGGGTCGACATACACGGACTTACAAGTACAAGACCCAATCAGGCATTAGACTGGAGGAAGAGAGGGCTATAGATTATTATGGAAAAAAGTCGAGCATTCATACTAAAAAGGGGGAACTTGCCTTAATAGACCAAAACAACCACACCCACCCACACAGCTTGTAGGGTAGCTAAGATAACAGCTTATCGTAATCTGGTCAAAATCAGATCTTCCAACCGGAATAACCTGATAACCAGATCATCTAAAAATAAGGGAAAAATTTAATAGAATGTGATCATATCCCTAGCAATAGTAGACATCAAAATTTGGGGAGAAAAGAATAGAATTGCTGGGCGTGGAGGCAAGTGGCACTGAGGCTCAAAATCGAAGACAAAGCTTGCAAGACCTAAAATCGATGTCCCTTCCATCAATGGCTGCGAGGGATCAAGCCCTTATATGTCTCCCTGCCAAGCTAGCTAGGGCTCCGGTCATAGTGCCCCAGGATGTCAGTGTGGTTCAACACAATACCGTCTAAACTTACCCTCCTTATGGTACATAAACCTACCATACCCCACTCCCCGCTGGGACACCCCCCAATGGGACAGCCAAAATGGGCCTCCGCCATTTACAAACTTCCACCACAGAATTGAAGCTATTCGCGCTTACTAAAATATAAAAGAAATAGAATTCGGTGATAGTTTCACTGCTTAATGGCGCAGGCCTACTGGTTTTCGAATTTGGAGCCCAGAGCGAGTATGCACTGGTGTAGAATCGGGTGAATCTTCAGCTCTTCAGCCTCCTCTTCCTCCTCCTCTTCAAGGTCACTTAGTGCAACCACAATTTCTTGTAATATATCGAGATCGATTTTTTCAACGCTTTGATCGCTTCCCAGTATATCAGAGAGTTGCATAAACCTCTTATTAGGATTAGGGACCTTCTTTCGCTTCTTGGCCTTCGAACGCTCCAAAGCAGCTTCCAGTTGTTGAATTCTTTGGTCCTTCAACACCAACTCGATCTCCTTACGCTGGAAGGCCCCAGATATTTTCTGGAACGTCCTCTTGAGGCTTGAAGGCTCTGGCCTAGCTAACCGGTGGAGTTGCCGACTGGTGCTTGGGGTTAAGGGATCAGAGCTTAGCAAAGCGTCCTCTGGGGTCCGCTCCCTATCCCGCTGAACTCCTGGATGTGTTAGAGCCTTATTGCGATTGATAATCCAGTTCCCTGTGACTCTCCAGACTGATTGAATATTTTTTTTAGTCATGCCTTGCTTTCTAGCCTTGGCATAGCAACATATAAAGTTGATTTTATCCACTGGAGTTGAGTCCGTTAGAGCACTCAATTTAGCTAGTCCTTTTCGATATGCAGCCTTAGAGGCATTGAAAACACCATTATCGAGAGGCTTGAGGCCATGAGAGGTGTGCACTGGCAGGAAGCACAAGTAAACGTTATTGCAAAAGCACGTAGTCATGAACTCGTCTTATGCAACAAAATCAGTCACTTGACCCATCCCCAATGATTCTGTAAAGCTATAAATCTCGCAATAAGGCTGGTACTTACAGAGGGGTGACTTTTGTGGCCATCTAATATTAGCAATCGCGCATCTGACTCGTCGGAAAGGAGTGGTATTATTTGGGGTAGGTAGACGTCTTTTAGCCACCTTACCCCTATATCGTTATCGGTCCAACCGTTGTCAGAGCACACATAATGCCAATTCGCGATGCTTTTGAACTCCTTAAGGAACAACTGAGCTTGGAGGTCTTTGCCTTTGAATATAATAGCGGGATTAAGGAGTTCTCCAGTCACTGAGATAGCCTCAATGAAAGTCGTCCAACCACGGCCTTGATCGCTCTTGAGATAAGCCCTCTTAGTTGCTGAACTACCCAAAACAAGCCCATAGAGTCCTATAACATTCAGCTTCGTGATATAATATATAAGGCCGAGGATATTACCAAAGCCTGCCATAATACCGCCTTCGTCGACATTCTGAGTGAGTTCTGGCTTAACCCAGACATACTCCTTCTCGAGAATGTCAAAATACCAATTAATAGCTCTAGGAGTAAAACTATTGAATCTAAATGCCTCTATTCTACAACCTATTTTGGCCTTGATGGAAGGGTTACGACGTTTAAAGCCATCAATCCAATTCTTGCCCAAAGGCTTACTATCGCCTATGGATTTTAACAAGCCTACAATAACACTACATACCTGCGAATATAAAGGCGCATATCCCAGAGCCTCCTGATAAAGAATCCAAGTCACTAGCCTTATCTGTAATAAGGTCAATGAAGAGGTACGAAGTAGCCAGGCGAGAGTAAGGTAGTAGTCAATTGAGACAGAGACTAAAGCTTGCCTTGTTTCAGTCTCTGGTCGGCAGGCCGAGATTATATAGATACTACGGCAAAACCCTGAGGGCTGGCCCCGGGCTTGTTGAGGTAGGCTGTGCGGTTAGGTTTTGCAGAGGGCCGCGTGTCTAGGTTAGCATTCTAGTATACTAAGATAAGGCAGGGCTAATCCCTTCTTGTACTGGATATAGGTATGTAATAGGGTGTTGGCTGTAAGGCTTAGTATTCTTATTATAATTATCCCCCCTCTATAAGTTACTATCTCCAGTGATGGGTATTATAGGTCTGAAAATTTACCGACTCTGTGCTATATAGTAGGGGAAACTGTTATTATTATTATTACTTTATTTAGTATGCTAGGTTTATTTATTTATTTTTAGGTTTATAACTTTAGCTTAGGTCTCTTTAACTTTTCTCTCTATATATATCTTATTTTTTTCTATATTCTATTCTATTAATTATTATATTTTTATTACTTTTTTTATATCTTTCTATTTTTAGTGATTTTTTTTTTATATTTTTATTCTATTGCTAATTCTTATTAATTTCTTCTATTTTCTTTTTATTTTTACTAACTATACTATCTAAGAAGTAAAAATAAATTTAATAGGATATTAAAAAGACAGTCTAATTTTCCTATATTATCTATCTTTCTACTAATAAAGATTAATATAACATACTTAATAAGCATGCAATACATCCAAGTATATAACATACTTTTCCATACCCTTTAAGATGAAAACTTCAATAAAAGCATAACAACGCCTTAAATCAATTAAAACTAATTGCTATACTCTTCTCCAGAGGTCTCAATAACAGCCTGACAGGTCCTTGCATTATAACCTGCCTTTCCACAAGTTCTACAACGCCTTTCCCTCGACATCGCCGACCTCCGTCGACCACCACTTCTCGATGATTCAGCCACTACCTGCACATCAACATCTCTCTAATCCATCTCATCCCTCCCCTTATCTATAGTTATCTTCCCTCCTTTACGTAGGCGGGTTCTTTTCGCTCTGCGCCGCTTGCTAAGAGTCTCATTCGCCTGTCGAAGGATCTGGACCTCGGCTTTTAATAGGGCATTCTGATGTATTATTGCCTTTATTTCCTTTAAAAGTGACTTAAGCGCCTTAAGAATTGATGCTGGAGAGCTGCTTTGATGCCTTCTCATTCGTCTTTCGAGGTATTCAGACTGAGAGCTAGCCTTAAGTACAATCTTTGGGGTTTTTGAGACCTAAGGGTTAGGGAGGCTGACCTCCTCTATAGCTAGTATTGGAGTCTGTAGCTGCACATCAAGCTTCAATATGATATTTTCTGGGTTCAAGGGAACAAGTCCAGCCCCTCGAAAACCTCCTTCAATATTACTCCTTATTATAGCAGCTGCATAGGCAGCGTAGAAGGCTAGAAAGAACTCGATCTTCAAAACGTAGGTTATAGAGCATCTAATCAATTTCTCAATTACTCGACTATAGGCTATTTTAAGCAGCCCAAAATACCCGATATCAAGAGGCTAGAGTAGATGAGATGAATAAGACAGCATGCAAAGTATAATAATATCGTTCTCTTTATAATATTTCTTAAAGTTAACGAAGTGGTGACTTTTATGCCTATTGAGGATGAGAAGATAATAGCAACTAGTTAATTGATTCTTTATATGCTAGTTAAAGTGCTTAAGCTACTTAAGACCTATCTTATTATTAGTCTAGCCATTTTAAGTTATTATAATAGCCTAATTGCCCGGGAGGTTACTTTCCTAATACCAGCTAGCAAGATAATATTAGCCCGCAACTACAATAAATAGCTAGATTGCCCAGCCTTCTATATTAATTGCCTAAATAACTATAACCCATTCCCAGTTTCCAGGCTGCATTAATTTCAGGTTTCTACGCCTTTCTATGCCTATAACAACCATCTTACTTACAATAATACCTATCATAAAGCCAATCTTATCAAAATTATAGATATTAGCAAGATTGATATTATACTTTGCAATTATATTCTTCACGAGCCTAAACTAGGTGCAAATAATAGTTAGATCTTTGCATTTAGCCCTCTAATAGTCATATTTACGAAAAAAACACATCTTAAGCTCTTAGTATCGCCTAACAAAGTTAGAAGCCCAGCACTTGCCAACTAGTAACGCATCGCGGTCAGCGAGCAGTCGGTTGGCCATTTCTTTAACACCACGCAGTCGCGGAGGAAATCCTTGCGAATCTAGGTCGAGAATGAATTGAATAATAATCTATTCCTCTAGATTGGATAGCCGACGCGATTTGGGAATCCAATCGCGTCGAGATTGAATGCCATTCCGTCGGCGACGCAGCCTCGGCTTAGAGACTTTATAGATGCTAGCAGCTTGTTGAAGACTTAGTTTTGGGTTATTTTGAAGGGCTTGAAGGGCTAGAAGGGTTCTAGCTTTAGTATTTTGCTGTGGTATGCTAAGTGGTTGAGATTGAATTGATAAGGTAGAAAGTTAGGTGTAGGAGGGAAAAGTGTGTTGTATACTTAAATGTGTTGTATGCTTATTAAGTATGTTATATATTATTTCTATTTAGCTATTAAGGCTAATTTTATTATCTTAAGCTAGTAAGAAAGTAACTTTCTTTTATTAATATAGTATTAATTAAGTATATTTTTCCTAATATTAAGTTAATTTAGTATAAGTAGTATAATAAGTATAGTAATTTCTATATTTTATAAGTATTTTTATTAATAATAAGTATTTTTCTTTAGGATATAAATATTAATTAGTAT